ATAAATCGACGAAATAAGTTATTACGGTAGGATGATTCAACTTTTTTTTTTTTTTTCATATAGATTGTGCATTTTTACAACGCACCATTGGACGTAAGCGGCACAAAGATTCACAAGTCGGTAATCGACGCTCTCGGTCGCACGGATGCGGTAGAATCCATTACCATCCGTAAGTCATACATTGAAGAGTGCTTCGATATCGTTTCAAGAACTTATATACGTATATGTTAATCATTTTCTGGTTTTTGTTTATATAGTACCCAAAAAGCTGCCCGGAGCAAAATGTTCGACTGGCTTAATTGAATTGAAGAGCGTCGATTTGGCAGCGAAAGCAATAATGCTTTTGAATCACATGACGTTCGAGTCATCAAGTATGAAACTATTACTATTCTACTGTTATTGTTACAACCACGAGCATTTAGTACACTTATAGTATATATTATTATGCACGAAATCGTTATGTAAATAAGCAGAATTATGAATTTATCGTGTTCAGACCACAAGATTGTGGCTCTAGAATATCTTTTTTTTTTACATACAATCAGTGCTTGACTTTAGGGGGAACGCAGGGGCACGGAGTACCCCAACTAATTTTCAGAAATTTTAGCGCCCCCCTACCATTATTACGTTATAAATATAACGCTTAACAAGTCTTGGGGACGCTATTTTCTTTAAAATAAACAGAGTCCCTCTTCTTCATTTTTGCCAAGTCAAGCACTGCAGTTAGCAGTGCATGCATACAATCATCCTGTCAACGATATGACTTTTGTTAAAAATACATTTTTTCCACATAAAACCACAATTTAAAATCAATACTCATCAATTTTTACAAAAGTGATTACACATTTAAATGACATTCGATTTAAGAGATACATTGTAATAGGGTATTAAAGAGCGAATACTAAACACCACTTATGAACTTAACGCTTCCCTAAACGCTCTTTTGAGCAAACCATATCAACGATTATCTACTGTACGCATGTGTGTAATATGTTTAGGATCGAGGTTTCCATTTTTGACAAAACTGTGCTTCTCCAAATGGTCTGAGATCCGGCAGAATTCCTCCAGCTCGTCTGGTCGTTTGCAGTTCAGAACTATGTCCCGCACGCCATGGCTTCACCACAGTTGTGAATATGACATGTCCGCAACTGCAGAGTTTCCGGTGTCCCAGATGACTCCAGTATTGACCAATGGTGAATCTACTTGGACGCTCTGGCATATGACGGACCAGAAGACCAAAGCTGTTAAGCCCCCCACTGCCACCGGTAATGCGACTGTTGAGCCGATCGAGTCCGGATCCGATGGCTTATTGAACGTGATACAGAATCAGTTGTGCTTCAACAAAGATGAACAGGGTGACGTTCTACTTGACCCAAACGTAGGGCTCGACGCCGTAGACATTGTGCAAACGGCGCAGGGTGGACCGTTGGGCGATGCGTAAGCGTAAATGAAGTTAGAACCGTTGCCTATTTCGATTAGCCCCAAAAAAATGTTTTCTGATTTTTTTGTGTTTTCTAATTTGCAACAGTTAGCAACGTCGATGACAATAATTTCCAATGCATTAGTTACGGCGTTTAAAACAAAATTAAGTTCGAATTGCATAAATTTGGCACCGCTAATTTGATTCTATTCAGTAGAATAAAATAATAACCAAGGTAAACTTGATGCTCAACCGATAATCTTAAAATTTTTCTTTGATTTTATAATTTTATCGATTATTTTCACTTGTAGTTGATTTCATAACGACTACTTTATTCAAATAAATTAACTGAGTGCGCAAATTATTTTATGGATTACAAATATTTGTAGAATAATTCGTCCAACTTACAATACATCGAATAATTTAAAGAAAACAAATATTTACTTTTCATATCGGAATTTCCTGCCATAATAAATTATGATTGTTGTATTATATCATTGATATATGATGATTACCAAAAATAAAACTTATTTTATAACGTGTTTTATTATTTTTT